TTCAGTGTACTCGCAGGCATTCGCCATATATTCAGAAGATTGAGAATGAGGGACATCAGCAAAACCAAAAGCCAAATTGAATTCAGTAATGGATTACCTGAATTCCTTACCCATCAATCGAAAACGAATTATATCTGGGGTCGTAATAGAAAATTCATCAAGTATATTGAACTCAAAAGTGACATAAAATTCCCATGTTAACTCAGTAAAATCCGACAAGACAATTGAAACATAATTGGTCCAACCGATAGCAGCTATCTTCCTAGTGACCTCATCTCTAATATTCAAAATGTCTAGTGTGGGGCCATGGATGAATTTACAAGGAATAATTTTTCTTGTACATGTAGCTGAATATCGTTCCTTATCGCTGCTTTAATGACGGTCAAATGCTCACCAAAGTGGGCCGAGAAAGAGAGGCGAACCTCCTTGTTCCTTTCAAGGCGGGACCGGGGATCACCTGAAGCATTTGCTTGCGAAGGTCCACTCAAAGGAATAGTGGACTGGGGTGAAGAAGTGCTAGCTGTGGATTTCTTTTTGACTTGTTTTTTCGCCATTAGGGGACAAGAAACTTAGAACGAGCAAGAAGTTAAGGTCGGACCCTTAAACCTATGAATGGACACTAGGGACGGGTGGAGTACTAAGTGTGCAAGTCATAACCTAAATTAGAGCAAACAAATTTGACAACTGCCAAGTTCACTAGCAAAATGCCCCAACCACAGTCAACTCGCATATGATATGAAACGTACAACAAAAGAGGTAGAAAATATAGATTCAGAGCATCCCAAATAGGCACAATTTATCTTTCATCAGCTACCACATAATGTATCTGTCCTCAGCTAAGGCAAAAATGAAAAGTTAAGAAGTGATAGGACCTGAATCTAGAGTAAACGGTGAAAGGCTAGCTTTGAGTTGAAAGGGAGAGCGCCAGCGACGGCGGCGGACGGAACGGCAAGCGGGGGGGAACTGCGGCAACGGCGAGCGACGAGCGACGAGCAAGTGGCGGCTGCACGACGACGGATGACGCTGCTCGAACAGGCGCTCGGCGGTAGCAACGGTAATGAGATACGACGGCGGAACAGCAGCGGCATCGACTGTGGCAAGCGGAAGAGAGCCGCTGTAGCAGTGCACGGCGATGAACTGTAGCAACGGTGGACGATCGGAGACGAGCAGGAGACGATCAGCTGCGGCCAACGAATGATGAGTAAGCAATGATCAGCTGCAGCGCACGGTGGCGAGGGACGATGGCGGATGGTGGCAGTGCACGGGCAGGCGATGGCGTCTGTGTGGCGCGACATTTGGCGGTGAGTTGCTGCGCGATAGGCAGCTGTGACAGCGACGGGCGGAAGTGGTGACTTCAACTGCGGTGATGGTAGTGGTGATTAGGGATTGAGGGATTTGGGTTGGTGCGATGGAGAAAGAAAGAAGAAAAAGGAGAGAGAAAAGAAAGAAAAAGAAAAGAGAAGAAAGAAGAAAAAGAGGGAGATGCAGCAGCGGCAATGGGAAAAAGAGAAAAGGGGAAGAAGGAAAGAAAGAAAAAGAATAGGGCACTGTTGGATTTTATATATATATATAGGAAGAATGAATGGCAATTTTGTCCTTTTACCCCCTTCTCTCTTTTATTTATTTATTTTTTTTAAACCGCTGCGTTAGACGTGGGCACGCCTAACTGCTCTCGAATCTTCTGACCAACTCTCGAAAATTAAGTTTCTTAAGCGTGACCACATGATATGGGCACGCCTAATTAATGCCGAGTCTTCTGTTGAACCGACGAAGAGTCTTCTCAGAAAAAGAAGGAAGAATGAAGGGGAAGAAGGAAAGAAAGAAAAAGAATAGGGCACCGTTGGATTTTATATATATATATATATAGGAAGAATGAATGGCAATTTTGTCCTTTTACCCCCTTCTCTCTTTTATTTATTTATTTATTATTTTTAAACCACTGCGTTAGACGTGGGCACACCTAACTGCTCTTGAATCTTCTGACCAACTCTCGAAAATTAAGTTTTTAAGCGTGACCACATGTGTGGGCACGCCTAATTAATGCCGAGTCTTCTGTTGAAGCGACGAAGAGTCTTCTCATACCTTAGGCCTGACCACTTGGCGTGGGCACGTCTAATTATCGAAGAGTCTTCTGCCTGCAGACGAAAATTACCTTCCTTAGGTATGCCTAAGTGGCGTGGGCACACCTAACTGGTAGCTACCAAATAAAGAAAATCATAGATTGCCTCCCAAGCAGCGCCTTTCTTTATCATTTTTGGCTAGACTAAGCCGAAAACTTTTCAATCTGTATAGATGGGATCCTCAAGATACATGAATTCGACTTCTTCTACTGCAAAGCCATCATAGTAGGACTTAAGGCGATAACCATTCACTAAGAATTTTTTCTCCGTTTTCAAACTTTGAATTTCAACTGCACCATAGTAAAAGAAATTAGTAATAACGAATGGACTTATCCAACGAGAGCGTAATTTACCTGGGAAGAGTTTAAGTTTGGAATGATAAAGAAGGACTTTTTGCCTAATTTCAAAAGTTTTCCGTGAAATTTGTTGATCATGAAAAATCCCGTTTCTCTCTTTGTAGATTATGGCATTTTCATACGCTTCATTCCTTAACTCTTCCAACTCTTGCAATTGAAACTGTCTCTGTACTCCCGCTTCAACCAAGTCTATATTATATTGTTTAACTGCCCAGAATGCCTTATGCTCCAATTCAATAGGAAGATGACACGGCTTCCCAAATACCAACCTATAGGGAGACATCCCAATAGGCTTTTTGTATGTAGTACTATACGCCCAAAATGCATCCTCCAGTCTTGAACTCCAATCTTTCCTATCAAGGCGAACCATTTTCTCCAAGATGGACTTAATCTCTTTATTTGAAATTTCAGCCTACCCATTCGTTTGAGGGTGATACAACGTAGAAGTTTTGTGAATAACACCGTACTTGCGAAATAGAGCCACAATCACCTGATTACGAAAATGCTTTCCTCTATCACTAACCATGGCTCTCGGTATCCCAAACAAAAATGTGAGATTTACAAAACCTACAACTACTTTTGAATCGTTAGTCCGAGTGGCTTTTACTTCCACCCACTTTGAGACATAGTCGACAGTCAATAAAATATACAAAAAATCATAGGAGGACAGTAATGGGTCCATAAAATCAATACCTCATACTTCAAAAATTTTACAAAACAATATGTGGTTTTGGGGCATTTGATCTCTATGGGAAACATTGCCTACCTTCTGACATCTATCACAAGATTTGCAGAATAGGTATACATCTTTGAATAGGGTAGGCCAATAAAAATCACTTTTCAACACCTTACGGGCTGTTCTTTTTGGTCCAAAATGACCCCCACATGCATAAGAATGACAAAAAGTTAAAATAGAAGTAAATTCATTTTCACTTACGCATCTTCTCATTACTTGATCTGTACAATGCTTCCAGATATATGGGTCATCCCATATGTAGTACTTAGCATCACTTTTGAGTTTATCCTTTTTCACCTTTGACCATCTTGTAAGAAACTGATTAGTGATCAGATAGTTTACCATATTTGCATACTAAGGAAGGGATGATTGAAGAGAGAGTAAATGTTCATCAGAAAAAGTCTCCTTTAAAGGAAAGTCATCCTTTGTAATGGGTAATCTGCTCAGATGATTAGCAACTAGATTTTCTGTCCCTCTTTCATCTCGAATTCTTGTAGCAGTAATATCCACCGGATCAACCTTGGCTTTGCTTCCTTTTTGGTCATCAAATACTGCAACGCTGCATGATCAGAATAGACAATCACTTCAACTCTTAACAAGTAAGACGTAAATTTTTCTAAGGCAAAAATAACAGCTAAAAACTCTTTTTCTGTGGTGGAATAGTTCAATTGCACTCTATTCAATGCCCTCGAAGCGTATTACATTGCATGAGGCGTTTTTCCAATTTTTTGCCCCAAGACTACCCCTATTGTAGTGTCACTTGCATTACACATGATCTCGAATGGGAGATTCTAGTCCAGGGGTTAGATAATTGGTGATGAGGTCAGTAGCTCCTTCAACGTATCGAACGCCTTCTTGCAATCATTACTGAATTCAAATGGCACATCTTTTTGTAGGAGTTGGATCAATGGAGCCCCAATCTTCGAAAAGTCTTTAATAAACTTGCGATAGAAACATACATGTCTCAGAAAAGAACACACTTCTGACACACTTGTGGGGTAAGGTAAGAAAACTACTAGATCTATCTTGGCTTTGTCTACTTCAATGCCTTTAGATGATACCACATGACCCAAAACTATCCCATATTCGACCATAAAATAGCATTTTTTCTAATTAAGCACTAGGTTCGTGTCAATACATCTTCTTAAAATAAAAGTCAAATTATCAAGGCACTCATCAAAACTGTCACCATAGACACTGAAATCATCCATAAATACTTCTATGATTTTTTCCACATACTCAGAAAAAATACTTACCATACACTTTTGGAAAGTTGTCGGTGCATTACACAGTCCGAAGGGCATTCTTCTATAGGCAAAGGGACCAAACGGGCATGTGAATGTTATTTTTTCCTGATCCTTCGGTGCTATGGCAATCTGAAAGTAACCTGAAAAATCATCTAAAAATCAATAGTAAATCCGACAGGCGAATCTTTCAATCATCTGATCAATAAAGGGAAGAGGGTAGTAGTCCTTTTTAGTCACTACATTGAGCTTGCGGTAGTCTATGCACTGACACCATCCGGTAGGCTTGCGAACTGTAGCAAGTTCACCTTCATGGTTGGCTTCTACCGTTATTCCAGTTTTCTTTAGGACCACTTGCACTGGACTTACTCACTGACTATCGGAGATAGCAAAAATTATCCCCACATCAAGAAGTTTGAGTATTTCATTTTTCACCTCCTCCATCATCATAGGGTTCAACCTCCTTTGCGTTTGTCACAGAGACTTTGCGTCCTCTTTAAGCCTAATCCGATGCATACACAAGGAAGGACTTATGCCTTTGATGTCAGCAATGGACCATTCTATCGCCTCCTTGTGTTCTTGTAGCACCCTTATCAATTTTTTCCTCCTGTACGGCTGATAATTTAGTCGAAATTATGACCGGAAGAGTCTTTCGATCACCAAGGTATGCATATTTGAGATAATCTGGCAGAGGCTTTAATTCCACTGCTGGCACTTGCATCACAGAAGGTAACAACCTCGGATGAGATTCGGGTATAAATAGGGGTACAAGGTCGTACCTACTGGTAGTAAATGCCAGTGATTGCAATGCTCCAACTGTGTACTTCAACTCTGCACTTAACTCCACATCATAAGTTGCTTCCAACTCAAGATACTTGGTAAGAGCGACTTCTAACTCATCCCTACCATTCAACTCAAAAACTTCCTGGACCACAGGATTAATCACACTTATGCCAAAAACAGAGTGGGATTTAGATGAATATTTCATGATATCAAATATATTAAAATGAACTACCTCCCCATCAAATTTCATTGTAAGGGTACTCCTTTTCTCATCAATTTTGGTTTCGGCAGTACTCAAAAAGGGTCTCCCTGACATAAGAGGTGATCGATTATGGGAGTGTTCATCATGCATGTCAAGTACATAGAAATCAGCAGGGAACACTAGGTCATTTACTTTGACCAGAACATCTTCAATTAGCCCGTCAGGATAGTCATTAGTACAATCTGCTAACTGAATGATAATTCTAGTTTTCTTTAATGGTCCTAGATTTAAAGACATGTAAAAACTCTTTGGCATCACATTAATTGATGCTCCTAAATCTAGCATCGCATCTCTAATCCTAGTATTCCCTATTCCGCATGAGATAGAGAACATACCTGGATCTCCATACTTTGGCGGTAGTTTCCTTTGCAGCACTGCTGATACGTTCTCCCTCACCACAACTCGTTCATCTCCCCTCAGCTTTCTTTTGTTAACACGCAAATTGTTCAAGAACTTGGCATACTTGGACACCTGCTTGATTCCATCTAATAAAGGGATGTTAACTTGCACCTTTCGAAACACCTTTAAAATCTCTTTTTCCTTCTCTTGCTTCCTTAGCTTCTCCAGCCTACTAGGGAAAGATGGTGGATTGGCCCTAACTTTAATCAACGAGTCAGAGATTGCCTCAGGAGTCGTCTTGCCCATTCCTTCTTCTTCCAACTATTTCTCAATTTGATCCTCATTTTTGTCCTTGGGAATCACTGGCCTGCGACTCTCGAGTTCTTTCCAACTTCTGAGGGTCATGGCACTCACGTTCTTTGGATTCACTTCAGGTTGTGTAGGTAATCTCCCATCCACCTTGGCTTTTAAATGATTTAGGGTAAAATACAAAAAATTCCCTTGTGGTTTCGCGAAAAGACACCTTACCCCCTATCGTATAGAAACTTCCACATAAACACTCTAAACTTCATAACTAAAGTGGAAATTAACCTGTAACCGGGTGTGTGACCTAGTGACGATGGGTATGCGAGATTCCTTTGAAAAGGAAAAAGGGAAGAAGAGAGTATTGCAGAAGATAGCTTTGAAAGGAATCCTTTCTTCTGCAGAAAATGCAATACTCTGAAAAATCTAATAGGACAAAATTCCAAATAGCAATTAGATGTAAAGCTATCTTCTGGAGGGTAAAAGAAAGAAGGTATCTGACACGAAATGGCTCACTCTTCTTATTCATCACCATCACCACCACCAGCTTTCTTTGCAGCTGCCTTCTAGTTCTTACGCTTGACTCTTCCAGCACGCCCGCCACCAAATGGACTGGTGATTGAAAAGTTAATGTGCTTCTGGGAATCAACTCTCACCATAAATGAAGGAACATTAACTACCTGCCTTCCAACCCTGATGTGCGCCTGTCTATTCTCCTCCTAAATAACACAAATATTTTTTGATCTTCTCTTTTATGATTCAAGAATCATGACTGCGTTCTTTCCGCGGCGAAGCTGCATTCCAACCGCGTCCTACCTGTCTTCAGTTTTGTACTCAGGATTTTGGACCAAGACTCCGCAGGCGGAGCTGTTAAGCTTAAGGTAGGGAAATCTTGATGATCAGTACTGGTTTTTGGGGATGGCTCGTTTGGATTCTCCTTTACCACCAGGAAATTGGTTTTGGCATTTTAGCCATTCATCAATATGGCCGCTTGATCATAGGCTCTTGCTGCTGCCTCTGCTGTCTCAAATGTCCCTAGCCATATTCTTTTCTTCCTGCACAAACAAACAGAAAAAAAAATAATAGCAGAATTCATGGAGCAGTTTCCTAAGAAAAAACTAAAAGAAGATTTGTGAAATTCTTGAACAAGATCTTGATGCATAAGAAGCGTTAGCCCATTTTTTTTTGGTCACATTTCTACAAATGGTTTCGAAATTGTGAAATGCCAAATTGCAGAATGCCAGACTGACGAAGCAAGTACAAATACTGCTTCATACCAAATCCCTTGTAAGAGATTAAAGAAAGGAATATTGTGAGATACATGTCGTACATGTGTTTGGAGGGATTCTATGCAGTAGTATATAGTGCAAATCTGCGTTCCAACCACGTTTGAGTCCATATTGTCCAACAAGCCTCAACTCAGCATCCAAATGCTCCTCCTCATATGGACGCCGAGGCTTTTTGAACGTCTTCCCATGGTTGCAATAGAAACTGACGTGAACCATGGCTACTACTAGGCCGGGGGATTTCTCGCCATCGTCAGTGGTGGTGGAAATGAAACCGAGAAAGACACAGCCAGAGTGTCATTCTTTCTTAAAGTAATTTTCAGAATATTATTTTCTCGAGAAAATGAGGTCAAAGATCGTATAGTGGTTGAAAGTTGATGTCTACAATATAAAGTTAGACGAGGGTATTCGACCTGCTGCCGGTAACTCAGCCGGTTCAAAAGGTAATTTCCACTTTAATTATGAAGTTTAGAGTGTTTATGTGTAGGTTTCTAAACGATAGGGGGTAATGTGTCTTTTCGCGAAATCATAAGGGAGTTTCATGTATTTTACCCAATGATTTACTGTAATTGCTAATTGACTCATTTGCATTTGCAGATTCTATATGCTAGAGTCTGTCTTTTGCTGGAACTGCAAGATGCTAGATACCAAACTTTTTACTATGTCTTCAAGAGATGTACCTGATGAACTAGAGGAGGAAGGTTGAGGCTTTGGTTGGTATGATTGCTGAAATCCTGGAGGACGATTTAGGAAGGAATTTTGCTGCCTGTTCCCATAGCTGAAATTGGGGTGATCCCTCTACCCAGGATTGTATGTATTTGAGAGGGGATCATACTATCTGCGGGACGCGGGCACGCCACCAACCATTTTCACCTGTTCCTCCCTATCTTCTTGCAGCATTGGACACGTGTCTATAGAGTGCCCCACGTTTGTACAGATTCCACACACTTTAGTTTCTTGAGAATTCCCTATAGCTAGTTGTCGAACAAAAGATATCAGTTCAGACAACTATTGCTGAATAGACAACACATCCACCTCGTTCACTCTACGGATGAGTGTATTCTCACGAAAACCAAATTGTTGAAAATTTTCTGTCATTTCTTCGATTAGCACCCATGCCTCTCTAGGGGTCTTGTTTGCTAATACTCGACCACTTGCAGCATCAATGATGTTCCGATTAGACCATTGGAGTCCTTCATAAAAATATTGGATCAATAATTGTTCACTAATTTGATGTTGCTGATATCTAATGCACAATTTATTGAACCTCTCCCAATACTCATACAGGGATTCTCGGGGTTTTGCTTGATACCACATATTTCTTTTCTTAAGCTGGGAGTCCGAGAAGCAAGGAAGTATTTTTTCAGAAATTTCTTCTTTAGCTGCACCCATGAGGTGATACTACCTGCCGGTAGGTAGTATAGCTAATCTTTTGTGGTATCCTTGAGTGAGAAGGGAAAAGTTCCAAGCTTTATTTGTTCTTCAGTAACCCCGAACGACTTTATACTCAAGTAGACCATGTCAAATTCCTGAAAGTGTTTGTGGGTTTCTTCACCTGTAAGACAGTGAAAAGAGGGCAAGAGGTGAATCAATCCGGATTTCAGTTCAAAAGAAGTATTTTCAGCTAAATTTGAAAAAATAATGCATAAGGATTGTTGGGTCAACTCAGGAGCAGCCAATTCCCTTAGAGTCTTGTTATTGGTCATGGTATTCTCTTCTCGTCCCGAATCACTTGAATAGTCAGTTGAAGATTCTACTAGTACAGTTGCCAAATTAAGCCCGTGAGATGCAGTAGACGACTGTCCATCCTTGTGATTTCTAGTCTCTTTTCTCAGCTTACGTGCTGTCTTCTCAACCTCAAGATCATATATCATTTCACTTTTGCGGGAAGAACGAGGTATAAACTAGCAAAAATATCAAAAATAAAATGAACTAAAAAAGAAACAAATAATTCAGGCATCAGCCCCCGGCAACAGCGCCAAAAATTGACAGGTCGATGCCTGTGCAATAATAATAATGATAATCCTAATTGCCAACAAAAGCAGTTTCGAGTCAGTTCTAGTACTGGAACAAGGAATCTGGATATGCAATGGGTTACTAAATTCACTCTGATTCAAAAGAGTTTGCTAAATCCGATATACCAGAATTTATTCACGAGAAATTTTTAATTTGTATATAGGGCAAGTAGGGTCGTATCCTCAGGGATTGGGGAAAGTTCGCTCTTTTTCAAGTCAAGAAGAAACGGGGATTTCGAGAATTAACACTAACAAATTACTAACCAAATTAATCAACTGTGAAAAATAATTAAGGGAGAGAAATAATGGAAAAAACTCTAGCCAAGACAACACTTCAGAGATGGTTCATGCAACTGATCATTGATTCAAATATAATTCCAACATTCATTAATAAACATATTCATTGGCCTCCGTACTGTTTCGATAGTCAAGGTACGACCATTGACTATTTCCTTAATTTAGAAATAATTCTAGGTATGACCATAGGATTTAATTCCTTAATTGCATTAAAAATTAGAGAAACCCTATTCTAATTAATAAACATGCTACGAGAGTTTATTTAAATTAGATTGTACGTTCTCCTAACACAAATCCAATTATGTCAGTTGCTACTGGGATTAGAGTAGTCAAACAATTACGGATTCAACTACTCTAATTAGCAAATAGATTACATAAATAATTAAATATTGCACACCTATTCAATTACACACAATAATCATAGCCTATAAAAGCAGAAAACTTACAAATACCAGCGAATAGAAGAAATAAATAAAATCAGTTAGATCTCACAGTGATAGTTGAACCAAATTTTTAGTTGTCCCTTGACTAGAAATATGAAATTAGTTCTCCATTAAGAGAGAACAAGCCATGCCAAAAATAATCTGTCGAAACTTACAATTGTTTTTGTGACGCCCCCACTTCTCCCAAGGGCGAACCCAAGGGTATCTGCGGGACGCCTGCCCAACTCTCGCCAGAACTCGGTACAAATTCAATTCAAACTTAAGAATAATCAATCAGTACTAAAAGTCGAAAATATAAAGGAAGGTCAATTCCTCAATAAACGTTCAAGTCTTATATCATAATCTACCCAATTACTTTACATTCCCAAAATATACAGTTTCTAAAATCAAATTCTAAACAAATACATTCACAATTCTAATCAAGTGAAGCATCAAGTAAGCTTCTCCAGAATTTCTCCCATTTTAGCTCCTGTTAAGGGAAAACAAATCTAACGGGGTGAGCAGACGCTCGTGAGGCCAAGAAAACATGCAAGGCAAGTTATTCAATAGCAATAGCACTTACACAATAGTGACAACTATAACATTCAAAGAATTTCACAATTTTAATAAATAACCTTGAGTAGGATGCAGAAGCTCTCCGGAGCTATTGATTTCTTATTTTGCCCTAGTTCAATTTTAAATACTTTTTCGGGACGACACCCCGTCCTCCGGGTAAGTAATTGAGTTTGTAGCCTTTCACGTATTCCATGTATGTTTCTGAGACGATTCGAGAAGTACCTCCCACCCAAATCGGTGTGGTACATACTATCGTTCAGTTTATAGTTCTGAGACGATTCGAGAGGTACCTCCCACCCGGATCGGTGTGGTACTTACTATCGTCCAGAGGTCGATGAGACATCGCTCCAATCGATTTAGAATGCTTTAGGGTTCTGAGATAATTCGAGAGGTACCTCCCACCCAAA